GGGCAAGAGGCATAGGCAAAACTGTGACCCAGTAGCTGTTTAAACTTGGGCCAAAGTCAAGAGAGCAAGACGTAGGAACCAGGGTGTCCAGAGTGAGAACTAGAAGAGGACAGCTTTGCCCTGACCTAGAAACATAAGGAAAGCTGTGGTTCAGTAGATGTTCAAGCTCAGGGCAAAGAAAAGGGAGACACCATGGCCAGGGGGCCTAGAACTTGGAGTTGAGGCCTATACTTCTGCACAGAGAAGGTGGGGGATAGAAAATTAGAAGAAGGCTTCCCTCTTGGAGGGGAGGGTTTGTAATGGTAATGCAGACTGTGTAGGCAATGTGTAGGGGGTGCACAGGGGAGCCTGTGAACCCCCTGAGAGCGCTGGTGCCCCCCCTCCCCCGAGGGCGAGCGCACTCAGCTTAGGCGACAGACGGGGGGAGGAGGCAGGTGGAGCGCTGCTCACCCCAAAAAGTGCCGAGAGGCACTTCCAGGCACACTGCCTGCACTTCCAGGCTTGGTGTCCAGCCAGGGGGGGACCCTGCCCCCCACACCACCGCAGCCGCCTGTGGACAGTCCCCACTCAGCCCACCCTCACCACCAACGCCTGCGTCGCTGCCTGCGGGCAGTCGCCATGCCCCTGCCCAACCTCAGGAGGCATGCATCGCCTATGGCAGACTGCCAGCTCTAGGAGCCTGAGGACAGTATGCAGCTGTGAAAGGCTTATAGCTCAGCCAGTGGGTGTAAGGGTTGATTGCAGGCTGCCTAGGCAATGGGAACAGTTGCCTTAACTAATTAGTTGGCAGGGAATTAAAAGGCTCCCAGGAAGGGGAGCTAGGGGGGAGATTTCAGAAGGATCCAGTGGGGAAGACAGGCTCCTAGGGAGAAGAGCTAAAAGCAGGCAAACAGCCAAGGGCCTGCAAGCTGAAAGTCTGCAAGTAGAGAGTCGAGAGGGAAGGAGCCTGCAGATCAGCTCATGGTGGAGCCTGGGGACCATATCTGGAGTGCTGTTATTCTGAGAGTTGGCCTGCGATTGTGAAGGCGACCACAGAGCGTGGAGAGACCGTGAGTGTATTGGGAACTATGCATATGGCATACATTGATTAGCTCCAGTAGTAGGAGGGAGCTTGCTCCAGAGTAGTAAGGACAAGAAGCCTGAAAAAGGAGTGAAAGACTGTGTGTAGAGTGAATTACCCTGAGACCTCAACAGTACTGTTAAGATAATTTCTTAAAACAGAAAAAAAAAGCTGGTGCAACATCCTCTATAGTTATGATTCTCAACAAGGGTGCTGTGGAACTGTACGATGCCTTGAGATCCTTTCAAAGGTGCCAGGGTTCAAGGCAGTCATGTGCGCCTTGGATACTAATGGGATCTTCAAACCATCCCTCATAGCCCTACCCAAACCTCCAGTTTAAACAGTACAACAGCCCTCTGGCTGTAACTCAAACTATCCTCACACTGGGTCCGAACATAAATCCCAGCTCACTAGCTGTATGCATCAGGCTTCCCCGAGCTCCAGGCTACATTCTCCCCCTCTCTCCGGCAAGACCTCAGAACCTTACTGGTACCTTCAAGGCAGCTCAGCAGTCCACCAGGCATTCCCTTGCAGCATTCCTTCCACATGCTTCTTCTCCTGCAGCCTGAAGGGCCAGACTACCTGTTTGCCTTCAGGCACTGGCTTTATGTGCCTCCTAAGAGGTGCCCATCAGGTCATTTGATGCTGCAGCCTCCCCCACAGGTGTACCTTTCCTGTGTCTGCTGACCTGCCTGCTTTCCCAGCTAGGGCTTAGCTCAGCAGTCTGTAGCCCTTTGCTTCTAGGCTGCCTCACTGTCTGCTCCACTTCCACTCCCTGGGTGAGTTGATCTCCCAGGTCTGGTCCCTGCCTGCAGCTTGCTGACATTTTCTTTGCTGACAGACACCTCCTCATAGCTAGCTGGCCTCCTGGCTACAAGTTCTCCCACAGTCAGCCTGTGCTAACCAGTTGTCTTTTGACTGGTTGCAGGCGTTGCCTCTTTTTTTTTTTTTAATGCAGCTCCCTTCCTCAGTGACAGGGATGCCTGGCTGCCTGCTTTCTCGAAGCTAGCCTCTATTCAGCAGCCCTGGGTCCTAACTGCAGCATTCTCGCTCCTTAAAATAGCAGGTGCCTTGAGTCTAAAGAAGTTGAGAACCACTGCTGTATAATGTGGTTCCTCATTGCTCTATCCCAGAATTCATATTATTGTCTGATGCAATATTTTGTGTAGTTTGTCTTCACAGTATTGCCCTTTCTGTTGCTGTTTCAAGAAACACTGCTTTGTGAAGAAGGACTTCCGTGAATTGATGGGACTCCTCAGAGTCATTTTTAACCATTCAGGGCAATAATAATGGTATGGCTGCAGAACAACCTCTTTGAAGTATCACCACCTGACTCCAGTCATTTTTTTTTTGAGACCCTTTGACTTTGTAGGAGAGTTTCCCAGAAAGAAAATTAATCCACTTGCTTCCCAAACAGTTTCCTCCCACTACAAGACAGGTCCTGGAGCCACTCTGTTACTCTTCTGCTGAATGTGCTCGAGTATATTCCCCACCTGCAAGAAAAGTGGACTCGACCCTAGTTACTTTTATACCTTTGGATGCCTTAAATCGAAAAATCATCACTAGCTTTTATATCCTTGCTAGTACTGGTTTTCCAGATATACACTAGGAAGTGCGAGTAGAACTAAACATATCAGACAACGTAGGGACATACAATGCCCTGGGTATAGTATCATCCCAGCCCTGAGCCAGCTGAAATCACAAAGAAGTTATCTTGCCAATATGAAACAACGTGAATTGTCACTTGAATAAAAAAGGGTACACAGCGGTTTATATCAGCAACCACGATTGCCACCATAACCTATGATGCATATACATACAGATGCAGAAAGGAAAATCTGATCATTTCAGTGCAGTACTGCCTGAAGCCAGTCCCTTCAGCAGCACTACAGGAGCTGCATAGCATCCTGGTGCTGCCCGCCTTGGCCCTTTCTCTTGTGAGGTAACTAGATAAAATAAAAAGGCATAGTTCACTGCCATCAACTTCAGCTATCAATGTACCAAAAGTGGCACAATGTGACCAATGTCTTGTCCCTTTCCCACTATCACTGCTTTCAAGAGTCAAATTAAAGAGCCCAGGGACTTTCACCAGCCTGTTAGTCAGAAGCAAAAACCCAGAAGTATGAATACTGCCATGGGCACCTGGTGCCTCCTAATATTGGGGGGGCAACAGTTGCTGATCACCCACCAGGGGAAGGGGTCCCCCAGCAGCCGATCACTGACGGGAGGGGAGGCGGGCCCCCAGCCGATTGCCGACTAGGGGGCCGGGGCCAGAGGAGTCTGTGTGTGGGCACATGCGCACCCTCTCCCCATGCAAAAGTCTGTGGGGGAAGGGGTGGGGTGGGGAGGGGGAAGGGTCATGGTGGGGAGGGAATGAGGCTGGGGCTTGCACCGGACAGGGATCGGGTTCGGGGCTGGGGTCTGCTGCACCCATGTGGCTGCACCCAAGCGGGGCCAGCTTCAGCTGTGCCACCGGGATGGAGGAGACGGAGGCCCCGGGAACCCCACCCCGCCCCACCTAAATCATTCCCAGCAGCTCCTGCAGAGTCGCAGCCCTGAGGAGCCAAGCGGGGGCACATGCCCCCCCTGATCTTTGCATGGGGCAAGGGTGGGCTGCAGCTGCAAGGTGAGCTGGGCTCTCCTGGCTCCGTGCCTTGCTGCAGCCTTTGACAGCGGCGCACTGCCATGTGTGTACCGCTGCTGGGTGGAGCACATGGTGCTGTGCTGTGCCACTTTCAAAGGCTGCAGCAAGGTGCAGAGCAGGCAGAGCCCAGCTCACCTCGCAGCTGCAGCCCACCCTTGCCCAGTGAAAAGATAGGAGAGGGGGCATGTGCCCCCCTTGGCTCCCTGGCACCGCGACTCTGCAGGAGCCACTGGGCTCTGCATGTTCCATTACCTGGTCTGGCCAGGGCTCCATTCACCGTGAATGGCCAAGTCGTGGGGTAATCAGAGCCCAGCGGCTCATCCAGGTCCACGGTGCATTGGAGCCAAGGGGTTGGGGGAACGTGCCGCCCCTCCCTCGGCTCCCCTGCAGTGTGACCAGCGGTGAGAGCCACCGGGTTCCAATTGCCCCACGACCCAATTGCCCCATGACCCAGCCCAGCGGACAATCCCCACAGTGCAGGAGGGAGCGGGGCGGGGTGGGGGTAAATGATTCGTCCCTGCCCCTACCCCACTCCCTCCTGCACTGTGAGGGGCTTAATCTCTGCTCCCATCCCCTCCTCCCCCGAATAAATTTTTACCTACCTGCCTACTGTGCTGAGCCGGCTGTGAGCCCAGTGCACCCCTCGCCCCTGCTGCAGCAGCCTACAGCCAGGTTACCCAGCAGCAAACCAGGAAGTGCCACCGGCGCTTCTCTCAGGGAGGGCACGACCAGTCTCAGGTGATGCATGTGCACCTGCATGCGCCCCCTACACGTCACCAATGAATTCTGCTAAGTGATATTCCAACAAACTTTCAAAAGTGATTTGACATTTCAGATGTCTCCATTTTAGACTGCCCAACCTGTGTCTCTTAAAGGGGGAGTGCTCAGCATTTTCTGAAAATATCAAGATTCTCCAGTTAGGTATCCAGCGGTTAGGTATTCCTCAAGGGTGTTTGGACTAAGATATTTAAAGAAAATGCTTTTCTTCAAAACTCAATGCATTCCTCTTATGCTGTCAAAAATATACACTAGTCACGGTTAGTGAAATTTTGCCAGATCAATTTGGAATACAAATATTCAGACAGGACAAAATAATGCATATGCTGCCATCTAATGGACAGTTATAAACTAAGAACAAATATATACAAATTGTCATTAATATCTACACTAATGGAGAATAAACTCATTATTTCATTCTACAATAAGGTACAAGAACATTCTGAGTACGTCACTCTAGTCCGCTATGACATTATCAATATAATTTGGAAATAAAAAGATAAACTGTACAAAACTTACTAGTTGTGGGTTGGTGCCATTGGAAAGAATGTCTAATAAGTCTGCAGAAGAAATGAAGTAAAATCTGGGGAAGGCCAATCTCTTGGTGTCTAAATATTCAGCCAAGGCTTTCTCACACAGACACAATCTAGGGAAACAAAGCAGAGAAATACAGTCCAGAATAAACAGACATATTTCCATTAGAATTTAGCATTGCAGGTCAGATGAACAAATACAATTCTGACACCAGAAACAGATTTCATGTCTGCAAGGGTCTTAACTATCATTACTGATATCATGTGTAAGGTACTCAGAGGATTATACCAGGTCTGGGCAAAATACATCCCGCAGGCTGTACGCAGCCTGCCAAGGGATTTTGTCTGACATGCAGCACATCCCTCAGCCCCACCCAGCCCAGGCATAGGGGGCAATCTGGGCCATGATGTGTGCAGCCAGTCCTGCCACCCCCAGGCACGTGGCAGGGTTAGGGTGGAATGGCAGCCAGACTCACTTCCCAGCAGCCCTCACAGCAGGAGTTCCTTCTAGCTGCTGGTGCCAGTCTCTGCCGCTGCCACTGGACTTGGACACATTGCCTGGACACCCTTTCCCTTCTGTCCTGCACCCACTTCTGGGAGCACAGGACAGAGCAGGTGGGAGGGATCTCCATGGAAACCAGCCATTGACCCACACAAAAAGGCTGCATGGCCAGGTGAATGAGACAGGTCCATGGATGGGCAGGAGTGGCATCCAGAAGCAGGAAGGGTGGGCAGGGCCAGGGCTGGGATCTGGGATCGCAGGGCAGTGACAGTGCAGGGCCACGGCACAGGGAAGAGTCATAATCTGCTGCCCGCACACCCCTGTCATGAGCGTCAGTTCCACGGGCAGGGGTGCATGGGGAGTGGATCATGGCTCTGCCTCGGGTCCCAGCCCCGTGCTATCATGGCCCCGCGATACCAATCCCAGCCCCAGCCCTGCCTGCCCATCCTGCTTCCAGACACTGCTCCCCGCCCATTTAACAATTTGCATTCAGTGACCTTGAATATGAAAAAACTCAATCAGTCAAAAAAAACCAACCTCTTTAAATAACACTCATTACATTTTTGGATTCACAGCTAAAATAGCTATATGTATAAAGCTCGTGCATAGCATGTAGCTAATCCTCATAAGGAACATGCAGCTTTTGTAACTCAACGTGTTTATTTTAAATTCTATACCAGACTGGGTAAAGTTACCCTAGTTTAGGGATTTACATCACATGTCTCCTACTATTTTTATACTAGTCACACTGATGAAAATACATCTCTCTATGCTCTACATTTTTAAGTGTGCATTTTCTAACCAAATTACCACTACGTTAAATGTGAAGTGTATATTTATCTGTTCCATTGCATTTCATGATTCCTCAGAGTATCTAGTTTTGTGCATCAAGGACAGCTTTGCAATATTAAGGTTGTGAATTTAAATACCTAGTAATTATGGATGTCAAACGAACACTGACTCAGTCATGCTACAGATAAGTGTATTTTTTATTATTTGTTAGATTGCTAAATATATACCTAATATAGAATATATATGAGGTAAGTGAGCTCACATTGCACTCAAAACCTTATAAATTTCTTGCCTCTTATAAACAGGAATGCTCAGCTATAACACTGAGATAACAAGATTTGGGATTATAAATTGGTGAGTCACAAATAAAAAAGAATGAATAAATTAATTATTGAGATTGGCTGAAAACAGACTGCCCACCTCAGTCCAGGAAAGAGATCTAAGAACACAGGGTATGTCAACTTAATTTTGCTTAACCCAGCACTTTATGCCAGCAGAGAGAAGGGTAGCCCACCTGCTCTGAATATCCTCCAGTTCTTCATATAGACCTGGTTTGTTGGTAGCCTCAACTACATTTGTAGTTTTCTCAGCATCATAGGCCAGTTCTTTAAAATTAGCATCAATTCCTTCAAAACGTTTGGAGTCCTATGAATGGTAAAACAGAAACCATATTGACTATTAACACATTTGTTTCTTTACCAAAAAAGACTTATTCTTTGGGATCCCTTTGACTGCGGCCTTATTCATACAGCTGGAATGGGTGGTCTTCTAGGCCAAAAAGTATCATTGGCACCATTCCATTTAAGTCATTCAGTCTGTGTGACTAGAGAAGGCATCATGGCCCATTGTTTAATCCTCACCTATCTAAGAGAGAGATGTATTAAAGGATCTGTTCAGTAACTGTTCCCCGGTACAGCTCATTTCCCTATGCAGGTTTTTTTTTGTTAGGAAACTGAGCATTCTTTGGCTGTGCCCCTGGTATCTTTCTTCTGGATAAGGAAGAAGTGTCTTAGAGCAGAAGTTCCTCTTGAACACAGTTAAAGTCCTTCCATGGGAAGAACAACAAATCTTTTCTCATCTCCAGGATGATCATTTCCTTCCCTGCTGCAGAATGAGGAGTGGTCAGTCCATCACTCATATGGACACACCTACTACCAGTGAGAAAGGTCCTTCCACACTTTGATTACAAAGGGATGGCAGAGAAGCAAGTGGGCATGTCTACACATATATTAATACGTTTTAGTTAATGCACATTAAATCTAGTACCTCCATTATAAGGAACAAGGAACATGTGCATCAGTCTGTCTTAATGCACATTCACTATAGAGTATGGTTTTTAAATGACACAATGCACATTCTCCTGTTTGAATGTACATTAACTAAGCACAGATTTTGTGACAATTTAGTGCACATTAAAATAGGCGAATGCACATTAAAGTGCATGTGTAGACCCATCCACTAACAAATTAAATTCTCCACCTAATGTGAGGCTCCTGAGTTGCTCAAGCAATTCAGTGAAGAATAAAAGCTGCATTAAAAATGATCTGCTTAGGTCCCTTCTGACCCTACCAACTATGAAACTATGAAAAGCCTTGGCTCTGTTTAAAGTTAACGACAAACCACACAATAGTGCCAAGCTGTCCCCCTCCCCTGCAAATATTTTTGTAACAACTCAATAAAGTGGTCTCCAATTTCTCTGTAAATAACAAATTCTGTGTTTCACTTCAAGTGAATTTAACACACAAGCATCCCACTTCTTGGCAAAATGTTATCACCCTGCCCTTGAGACACTCCCATGGGAGTCCAATCTCCAGAGGTATTTGAATTTTGGCCTCTCTTCTGAAAAAAAGAAGAAACTGCAAATTAGTGCCAGATGTCATGTTCTTATTGTGATGGGGACTCCCACTTGTGATAGGGTAAGAAAGCAGATTTAGATCATAGACAGATTTCATGCGCACCAAAGAGCTATCAGATAGTAATAGCTTTCTGTCACTAATATTCCAGGCTGTTTTATCACTGCGCATTTTATTTTTATTGCATTAGCACCAAAAATGTAGTAGGTACTTATTCAACTAGAGGAAGAAAGTCCTAGAAGAGCACCTGGTCAGACAGACAACGACAAAAGTAAGAAAGGAATGCAAGATGATGTAAGGGGAATGGTTGGACAATTGTGGGTATAACCAGGATTATTGTGCTCACCCTCAACAACAGTTTCAGTACTTCTTGCTATTAACAGCTATTGCAAGTTAAAGCAGCCCACAGACTACTCAGGTTTATACCAGGGATCATGTACTCCACACAGACATGATGGTAGCTAAGTGAAAAAGCAAGCTTTATACTCTGACATGTCTGTACATAAGAATATGTGCTTTATCCAACTCAGACTAGGTGTGTGCAGTCCAGATAAAGACCAGGAGCCAACCAAAAATTATTTCTTAATTGGAAACAATTTTTTTTTTTGGAAACTCCTTTAAAAGGCACTGGAGAACAGTAAAATTCTTATATAATGGGTTTGTGTTCTTCCTGTCAAAGAATAAATAGCAGAACAACTGGCCCAGCTGCATGTAATTGCATTTTGAAAGGTCCTGTCAGGACTGTCTAGTCCAAACTTTTTTGTTTTTTATTTGCCTAGGTAATTATCCATATTTCCTCCTCTAAAGTAAATGGAAGAATGTGTTTTGTATAACAAATAATGCTGGCAGCCTGGCACTCACATAAAGGATTTTGTATTTGCAAAGTACAGAGAAGAAAAGAGGAGCCCATTAAGGGTTTTCATCCTTGTGGAATCACCCAATCGGGAAACAGCACAACTTTCATTATGGAAAGGCTATGTGGCTTGCTAGATAAGCTTAGGCAAATAAAAGAGTCACCAGTGTAACTAGTAAATGTTAAGTGGCAGGGGCCACTGTGGTTAACAGGTTATTCCAGTAACTTGGGTTCAAATAAAGAATATTATCCTATATGTCTTCCAAACTGAAAGAAACATGATTTCTGTTTTTCTGATTTGTACCTCAGGGAGCTGTGCCCGGATATCTTCTGAGCCTATGAATATGCTTTCCAGGTGAGACCATGTACGCTGCACTTCAAACCAGATAGAAATGACAGAGTCTGCTGCAGACAGCTTCTTTTGCCATCCAGACACTTCCTCCAGAAAGAAGGCAATATACTTGGAAGTCATTAGATTCTGCAGCTGTACCTGGTTGTCTTCTAAAGTTTCAATTAGATCTTCATCAGATTTCAACAAGGGAACTTTTGTCCGGGGGTGAGGTTCATATTGGAATTCCATGCTGCTCCAGATTGTTTTAAGTTCTTTCAAGACCTTTTCCATGCTCATTTCTTTAACTGCTTTATCCACAATACTGCGAACCTCATCCTCAAAGTTATGAAGGTTGAGTTGCAGCAGATCAGCCAGAGTAGTATCTGCATCCATGGTGAATTTCACACCTGTTGCCTGCATCAGCTGGTTCCAATGCCTTTCCCTAATGGCGAGATTCTGAAGTTCTGCCACAGCCCTCAGAGATGTCAGGGTGTTCTTTACCCTATTGTCCAGCCCAATGAAAGCGTCCCAGGTCCTCATTTCTTTATCTAAGTTTCGAATATCTTTACCAAACTTTTTGCACTCAATGTCCATGTTTTCAACATTAATATCCCTCCATTTTGTGGTCTGCCAATCGTTGATGCTTGAGTCTACAACAGAGATCATATCCCAGAGTTCCTTGAGAAGACAAAGTTCCTTCCTGCATTGCTTTAGCTGTTTATAATCTGGAACACTGACTTCAAACAAACCAGCTGATTCATAAATTGAACCCATGGTTGACTCCATTTGTTTAATCTCAATGTGGTTTGCATCCAGTATTTGGTAAGGGTTTTCAGTATCAAACCTAGAAAGAATTTTTCTCCATAAGTAAGACTATAATCACTTGTAAATAAAATATAAGCCAACTGGTTTATGCAAGAGACAAAACAGAGATGAAACAGCTATAACTTGTTCCACTGGATACTCCACATAGTGGTACTGATGTCAGCTTCAAATCATGAGGTGCCCTAATCATTTCCCCTTTAAGTCAGTGATTTTTCTACCTTTAGTTTCTACAAAGTGTAAATTGTTTGATAAAAAGTAGTGAAAAGGAAGGCAACATTGTAAGCAACATTTTTAGCTTCTTATGGAAGAATAACCCAAAAGAAAATTTCCCTCTTTGTGCTATTTTTCAGATACCTGTACCTGCTGCCGCTTTGAGGTACAAGTTACTGGCAAAAGAAACTAAAAAGTTAAGGATCTTGGAACATGCTCATTTAATGGCATGATGGGATCTGATCCCCGGTCCCAACAATTGGCCCTCTCTCATGCAACACATCCATATCAGGGGACACAAATTCTGGTATCAGGGATAAGATCCCAGTTGCACCCTTTGTACTCACTAGTGCAAAGGGAACCCCAGGATAACGACCCTAGGCTGTTCCTTCACTGGCAAGTTGAAAGCCAGGTGCCCGGAGCCCCACATAACCTGGGGCTGCCCCTGGGGCCAGGGCACCAATCAGCTGACTGCTGTCTCCCCACTCTCCCTCCCCCATCCCTGACAGTCCTAGGTCCAGTTGGAGAGCTGGGGATGCCTGCACTGAGGCCCAACTGATTGTCAGCTGGGACACCAGACAGGACTGGGTCTGATTCAAGCCCCTGAGCTGTCCTGGCTGAGGCTGACAATCAGCTGTTTGTCAAGTCGAGCCTGACAGCCCCCAGTCCAGCTGATCCTCTGCCCCAAATGTTTCAAGGGCTTCCCCGACTAGGGAGTTTCAACCATGCTCCTGGCAGCTCCAATGGGGCATGGTGCGGCAGCTCCAGTGGGGTTCCAGATACAGGGGATCAGAGGCTCCTGGCATGGGAAGATGCAATTTATGGAGTTTCTCATCCCTGCTCCCTGAATGATTTATAAATTACTCAATCATTGATTTAAAAACAGAAATAATCTAGGATCAAGGACTGGAATCCTGGTTTTCTCTGCTTCTTGGGAGAGGAAAACTTAGTGCTATAAAGTCAGGCTCCCCCTTGCTTGTTCTGCTTCTGGCCCCAGTATTCATGCATTCTTAGCTATCTAGTGGCCTGTCTTCAGCAGCAGGGATGGGGAATCCCATAACTCAGACTTTTCTATAGCATAGCAATTAAAGTGAGATGCAAAATACAAACTTAAAGCCCTCATGATCAAAAGTGCATAAAGCCCAGGTCTCAGACTTCCTGGAAGAGTATTCTAAACATCAAGCCATTATGTAAATAACTGGCATGCACTTAGGATGGCATATTTTTCTTTTCCCATTGTTCACATAGATTTTTTAGCACTTACATGTCAGGGCTACATACCAAAGAATAAAATGCCTCTGGGCAACTGTGCAACTACATTGATCATGTGCAGTAACAGCCATAGCCTGTACACATTTTCTGTGGATATGTACCAAACTTAGATGCCTGCAAATGGAGCTGCCTACAACATGCATCTATTGGTCTTAGCCTCTGGAAGGAAAAGTGACTGTGTATGTGTTCCCACAGCTAAGAGCCTAGGGCACATGTTGGGGAAGGCAAAGGTCCTGAATTCTACATCATCCTCACATAGATGGGGTTGGAACCAGGGACCTCTCTGACTTCCCAGTACAGCACTCTAATCACCATAGGTCATTCATTGTTCAGGGCCTTCTCCAGTACTCCTTTTGAAGTTGAACTACTATCATAATCATTGAGGAAAAAAAGGATAGAGGGCAGTCCAGAAGCTTCTGACCCACTGGGTGCATCTACATATCTGCTTAACTGCACAGTAGACTAATTTGCTGCAATTAGTATCACAGTCTATAGAGGGCAACAGATGTATCAGGGGCATATCGGGTCAGCACCAATACAGTGAGAACTGCTACAGTCCCTTCTACAAACAGCCTAGTGGTTAGAGCACTTGCTGAGGCCATGGGAAATCTGGGTTCTAATTCCCTGCCCTCAGCCTCATGGGAGTTTCAAACCTCCTTCTAGAACAACATCCATGTCCCAAAGCTACAACTGTTAGGTTCCCTCTTGCTTGTTTTCCTTCTATCTCCTGGACACTTTTCCTCTTGGCTGCCAAGTGGCTTATCATCAACAGGACAGGACATGCTGTCCTGCCTGGTCTGTGGTCAGATGATTCAGATAAGGGACATCAGGATTCTCTCAAGGGGAAATGAAGCTATAATCTGAGTCCACAAGACATCCCCTGACTTGAGTAGGTGCTCTAACACCTTGACTGCCAGGTAAAACAGAATGTCATTGGATGACTTAGATGCCTAAAAACTGTATAATTTCAGTTATGCATTTTAGCAATGAATTCTACCCTTAATGGGTTTTAATGCCTAAACTCCAAGGAGGTGCCTAAACTCCAACGAGGAGCAGAAGCTCAGACCCTCCTCTATGCCTAACATCTCCCACTGGCTTGCTCATCGCCAGTAGGTGCTATGAATCACTTCTTGGCGATGCCTAACTCTCCCCAGTTGCTGCATAAGGATTCTAGGTGCCTAACTGTCAATTCAGATAACGCTCCTGGGGCAAGATACATATTTTTAGGCAGGCTGAAGCATAAACAGAGATATCTATACTGCTGATCAGGATATTACCATAAATCATATAAAAACCCCAATTCTACTCCTCAAAGTGACACCAGTCCTTTCCTATGCATCAGTCCTTTCCTATGCACACCCGTGACTTTTGAAAATGGGACTTAGACCCCAAAATCGTTTGAAATTTCTGAATATTTTAAAACTAGTTTCACTGAATCCAATCCCTGATTAATATAGGACAGGGTCCCCAGAGAGAGAACATAACACATATCAACTCTGGCCTTGTGACCAAATAAAAAGAGAGAAGTAAATGTTAAAATATATGCCCTTAAGGGCAGCTCAGAAATGTCCTAATAAGGCTTTCTCTCTGTGATTCTTGTCATGCCATTTTTTTATCATACCTGAATGGTGCCTCTTTGCGAAATTTCTCTCTAAATTTATGCTGCTCAACATCAAATGCTGCACAGCCCTTGCGAAGAACTGTCACTTCATTTGCCTGCAAAGGAGCCACATGCTGTTTCACAGTTATTGCCAGCTTCTTTATGTTGTTCCATTTTTCTGGCAGCTCCTACAAACAAAATTTAAAAGCTGGCAGACACTATTTTCCACTTAATATAATATGTATCTGATCTCTTTATAGTTACAATGCTGGAAAAGCACAAGACTTACTTTCTTACCCAATAAGGATAGTTTTATCATGACATAAAAGGCAAACACATGACTTGACTAAAACAGAACTGAACTATTCCACCTTGAAAGTTAAGAGCTTCCCCCCTCCCTTTACATATATACAAGCCCTCTTTGTTCCAACTTGCCCTGTTTAGTTTTCTACATCTTGCTTCCGTTCTTTTTTTATTTTTATGAGGCTATTTCCCTTATTCCATTTCTTTTCCCAGTACAAATCACAACAGGAAAATAACGAGGGAAAAAAAGGAATAGTTAAAACAGAACTTTGGACTACTTTTTTTTTCAGAACCCATTGTCTGTCTGACACTACTCAAAATACTTGTGTCTGCTTACCAGTTAGAATATCTCCAACCACATGAAATACAAAAGCACCAGTCAGTCTAGTAGACAGGTGCTCATTCAGGAACAGACCCAGGGGTATGAGGGTGCAGTGATGTGGTGAATTTGCACTCCACTTCATCACTGAGAGCACCAGTTGGAAGTGGTGGATGTACGCGTAGTAAGCTCACCACACATGCATAGTGCACTTGCTGCCATCACTACACCCTCCTTTGCAGCATCTTGGATGCATTACGTTAAGAAACATTACATACTGGATACATTACATTAAGAAACATATCCACTTCTGTTTCTGTACAGAGCAGATAGCAATCAGTACAGGTTAACCTTGCCAACCATGGTTTTGCCAACCACGGATTTGAATATCCACGCTTAATATTCCAGATACCATTTTGGCTACCACACTATAAAATTTTGAGTAACCACAGTTTTCCATGGCCGCAAATCAGCCCGCCACCTTCCCATAAGCCTTTTGTCTTGCCAACCATGGTTTTGCTGACCACGGGAACTTTCAGGAACCTAACCCCAGGGGTTGACAAGGGAAACCTGTACTTTATTTAGCTGTATGAAGCCAGCAGGTTGCTGGTAAGAAAAAAGATTTTCCTGGCTCCAATATCCTAAGGAGAGCTTTGGTGTTTCAGCTTCCCTACAAATAAATTATGTGCTCTCTTTACTATAATCACAAAAATTCAAACACTAAAAAAGGGAAAAGTTTAGTCAAAGCCAAGTCTCATACACAGAACAGCTCTCCCTGGAGAACAAGAACAGAATTATCATTCCATAAATTTATAATAGAGGGGCACTTTTTAGAAAGGTCTTGCTTTAGCCCTAACAACCAGCACAAGGACTGTAATGGGAGCTGTTTAAATAAGCCTTTGGTTATGTATTTTTCTATTTTAATAATATCTTAGATAACATGGTTCAGAGCACCTCACAATCTTTAACATACCCCCACAGCAACTATGAGTGATAAAGATCTTTTACCTATGTTTTAAAAATGGAGAACTGCAGCTCAGAGTGATAAAGCCAGGTTCTTAAAGACAGCTTGGCAGTATGATTTTGAACAATGTCTAGGTTCCTATCCACATGTTTAGGTACTTAGCTACATATAAAAGCCTGCCCTTGGTGACTTAACCAAGGTCTGTCAGAAAGCCCTTGGAAGATGTAGGAACCAAATACACATCTTCAGAACGCAGAGATTTGTCCACGCTATGGAGCTATTGCTGCTACAGCTGTAACAAGATAGCTATGCTGGCAGATACTCCTAGGAGAAATGTGGAAAAGAGTTTTCTGCGTGTATATATCATGCTTGCTAAGCTGTAGAAGACCGTTTCCAGTAGCATACCTGTATCTTGATGAGCTTTGCTTGCATAAACCTACATCATTAAAAGGATGTGATCTCTTCACATCCATAAATAACACATCTAAGTCCCCAAAAAAGTGTAGTATAGATAAGACCTTAAACTAATGCTCTGAACATAGGCATTACCACCAAGCATTACCACCCTAGTACCACACTCATAAAAATGGCTCATTGGACCTATACAAATAATTATAACTCATATTTAATAAAGGGTTGTACTTTAAAAATGTATTACATTCTTCAAGAGGAATTGTTACAAGTTTTGACAGCCAAAAGCTATGCCTTTCATAAGAAACAAAAGATTTTATCTCTGCTTTAAATGAAAATTTCAATGCAACATTAAATAGTGCTGCTATGACCCATCCACAATAGATTTTCTGCAACCCAGTTGTCAAAACAGTCTAATCAATGGCTAATATTAGCAGGTGGTTAAAAATTAAGTAACATAAATGTATCACTCCCTTTTAAGTGTCTATTATTTAGTACATTTGTATACTGGTCATTATTCTGTACCAACCTCAAGTTGTTTATATACTTCCTCTGGCAGTTCTTGCTCATATATCTTCAGTAGTTCAATGGTTTGCTTTAAGGGCTCAAACATCTCATCAGTGCTACTCTGTCTTTCTTTAACAGCCATCAGGTGACCCATAATCTCTACCAACCCATCATAATCTCCTTTTTCAACTTTTTTGCTCAAACCTCTATCAGCATTTTTTATAAACTCTTTAAGGTCAGCCAAGCTAAAAAAAAAGGAGAAAAACAGAGCAATTTATATTTACACTGGTTATCAGCTTTAGCCCATACATTTGGATTGGTACAAAAATCAAGAGGAATGGACATTTCAAACACTGGCTGTCTTCCTTCCTGTCCAATTCCTTCAACTGGGGCTTTAAAACTGCAGTTCAATAAACCCTTACTCACATGCTTAAGTCCCATGAAAGTCCAAGGAACTTAAGCTCATCTTCAGATGCTTTGCCAAAGAATAAGGTGGGCTGCTGAATCAGGCCAAAGGGAATACTTCAGGGAAAGACAGACAGTTTTTAGTCATGACTGCCTGGTAAATCACATAGTCTTTTTCTTCCTGACTGGACAAATGAGTCCAGCATTTATCATCTTTCCAGCATTTATCATATGTGAATTTCTAATTCCATTTCAGAACTCCTCAATTTTGCACTTATGTCAACAAAACTAGATAAAACATCCATAAAAGGAGTGAAGACAAAACAGCATACACAAAGAAAGTTCATTCAGAAATGTCAAAAATGTAAGTTAAATGTTCCCATGAAATAGCTTGTAATATTAGTCTGCCTTTATTGTTGGGTAAGCTGAAGTGTGTACAGGATAATTACAAATCCCTACAATTAGACAGAAGTAATAAAAGAGAGAGAGAGAGACTGTGGAAGGTGACAGAGTAATTACAGCAAGAGGCATGAAGAAGTAGAAGTGGGACCTAGAAATCCTGATTCACAACTCTATTCAGCCACTCAGGTGCACTGGACATCTAGGCTTAGTTTCAGTCACAGATCAAATCAGAAGTGACAGTCTCAGAGAACGGAATACGTAGTGGATATAATGGAGCTGCCAGTCCATGACACTATGGATGGACACTACAATTGTTTGTATTTTAGTTTATTAGTTCAATGGACGGAAAATAAATGCCCCATGGTTCACTATAGAACTTTGGACAAAACCCAACAGATGGAGGTCTGGAAATGGAGCAAAAAAGCATTTGTTACCTATGTGTGACATGATCAATGAGGTGGTGCTTAAACATCAGGCTCCACCTTTTGATTATATTAAGCAGAGAAGCTTTAAAGGGCCGGGCATCAATTTTCATCCAACCATCAAAAACATTCGTCATCTCCAGGCTGTTGACTTCATCATATATCTTCTCATATGAATCTATCTGTTCTTTGAACTGTTGCAATGTGGGAGGGGACTCTGGAACACCCTCTTCAGCATGGGCTTCAATTTCTGCTGCAGTAAGTACATGCCCATACAGCAGGAATTGGCGTATAAATTCCTTCCTGTCATCCCCATAGAGGTATGAGTAATGGTCAAAGGAACTGCGGTAATCACAGCAAATTGACATAACATTCTGAACACGCTCCATCAGGTTGTGGCGCATGTCAGCTAAATCACCCATGTCCTCCATATCAGCCTAAAAAACAAAAGAAAGGTGCTGTGACTTTATGATGATCTGGAGCAAATTTTGTACAATGCTGCACAACGAAAGAATGTCTGACAGAACACGGGACCTGATAATGAGGGAAAATGCTGTGCTCAGTTAGTCTTGGTACCAACGATGAGATTCGATAGATGTCGTTGATGAGTCCTTCTATGATGTCATAAAAGCCATCATTAGCACCAGGGTCCAAAGAAGGGTGGAATACCAAATCTGGCTTCACCAAATCCAGTTGTACTTCAAATAGGGGGGCGAGTCCTGCCTTGGGATCTAATGGAGCAAAAGAGATAATGGAATCCAGGTTCAGATATAAAAGGGAGTGAGTTTATTTCATCACCACATATTCCCAATCTCTGCGTCTAGGAAGCAACCATTTCAACCACAGTGAACACTTTTCATGACCAAAATGTTAAAAATCACTGGTTACAACATATTAAAGAGGAACTGGGTGGGATAAGAGGCATATGGAGAGTGGCTTTCTACATTATAGACACCATTACTTGTTTTAGAGTTCCTGGTAACTTAAAACTGCAACAGTAGTAAGTAGATTTAATTTATTTATCTGCATGACATTAGTGAAACTAATACTGAAATACAGTACACAATTCTCCTTTGCATATTTCTTAGAAGATGTTGAAACTGGGGGAGGGTACAAAAGGTAAAATTACCTGACAGAGGGGAAATGTCCTGTAGGGAGTGATTAACACATCTCATTCTGTTTAGCTTACAAAAAAGAATACTGGATAGATTTAACAGGGGCAAGCAGTGAGGAAAGCCAAAGCAGAAATGGAGCTTAGGCTGGCAGCAAAAGTTAAGGATAACACAAAGCCATTCTTTAAGTACATAGGCAGCAAAAAGAAGGTACAGGGTAACTTAGGGCCCCTTCAGGATGAACTAGGGCAACTGGTAAAAGACAGGATGGCCAAAGCAGAGCTTCTAAATTATTTCCTTGCATCTGTGTTCTTGGACATGAATACAAATACGGATCCCACTGGGACCTTAAGTAAGCCCAGTATAGATATGAACCTACCAACTGTACGAGCTGACCTAGTAAAAGGGCACCTGGAGGGGTTGAATGTATTTAAGTCAACAGGTCCTGATGATCTTCATCCTAGGGTACTTAGGGAATTAGCTGGAGTCACAGCAGAGCCAACATAGCTATCTTGTTTGAGCACTCATGCTCAAACATGAATTATTGGACATTGGATAATGTCCAGTAATTCATGTTGGACATGTCCAATGTCCAATAATGTCCAATAATGACTGGACTAATGACTTGGAGTGCTAACATCCATGATATGCATGTATTAGTGCCACCAAAGCCTTCTATGGTCTAAGCACTCAAGGACCAACCCCCTTGAGACATAAGGATGGAGGAGACCTGATCAAGAAAGGGCAGCCAGCAATGCCTGTTGGAAGGAGTATTTTGAAGACCTTGTCAGTTGAGACTCTGTTGTTGACAAAAGTGTTCTCAACTCCATTCACAGCTCCCAGACAGAGATGATATTGGAATCCTTCCAACCCTTGACAAGGTGATTCATAGATTCAGAGGAGTAGGGTCGGAAGGGACCTTGTAAATCATCAAGTCCAACCCCCGACCCTGGGCAGGAGAGAAAACCAAGCTCAAATGACCCCAGCCAGGTAGACATCAAGCCTCCTCTTAAAGACCCCCAGGGTAGGAGCCATCACCACTTCCCTTGGAAGTTGGTTCCAGATCCTAGCCACCCTGACTGTGAAGTAATGCCTTCAGATGTCTAGTCTAAACCTACTCTCTAACAATTTGTGGCCGTTATTCCTTGCTACCCCGGGGAGCGTTAGGGGGAACAGGGTCTCTCCCAAACCCTGCTGGTCCCCCCTGGTGAGTTTATAGATGGCCACCAGGTCCCCGCTCAGCCTTCTCTTGCGAAGGCTGAACAGGTTAAGGTCCCATAGCCTCTCTTCATAGGGTCTGCCCTACTGTCCCCGGATCATGAGGGTGGCCCTCCTCTGGACCCTCTCAATGCTGTCCACGTCCCTCCTGAAGTGCGGCACCCAGAACTGAACCCAGTACTCCAGCTGTGGCCTGACCAGTGTCGCATAGAGGGGGAGGATCACCTCCTTGGCCCTGCTTGAGATGCATCTGTGGATGTACAACAAGGTACGGTTAGCCCTATCGATTGTGGCCTCGCATGGTCGGCCCATGTTCATCTTGGAGTCAATAACGACTCCAAGATCTCTTTCTGCTACCATGCTCTTGAGAAGGGAGTTACCCAGCTTATAAGTGTGCTGCCGGTTACTACTGCCCAACTGCAGCACCCTGCGCTTGTCAGTATTGAAACCCATCCTATTTTCGTTAGCCCACCCCTGTAACCTGTCCAGGTCCTGCTGTAATCTGTCCTTCCCTACTAGCGTGCCCACCTCACCCCAAACCTTGGTATCATCAGCAAATTCAAACAGGCTGCTTTTTACCCCGTCATCCAAGTCACTAATAAAAAAAATTGAACAGTGCGGGCCCAAGGACCGAGCCCTGAGAGACTCCACTGCCCACTTCCCCCCAGGTCAAAAAAGACCCGTCCACCACTACCCCCTGAGTACAACCTTTCAGCCAATTTGCAATCCATCTGACTGTGTAGGCATCAATGACACAGTCACCTAGTTTTTTGATGAGAATGGGGTGGGAGACAGTGTCAAAGGCCTTGATGAAGTCCAGAAAGACTACATCCACCACGATACCTGCATCCAATGCTTTTGTGACCTGATCATAGAAGGCAATCAGGTTGGTCTGACAGGACCTGCCGCTAATGACA